ATCCAATAATGCTTCTCGCAACCACAGCAGATCGGCTTAAGCAGATCGGCGAGATGCAAAGGATTGACATCGTCAATCAAATAATTAGTATACAAGGATGAACTGACCACCAGCTATATCATGTAATCATAGCTCCGAAATAAATAAATTGCTCTACATATAAACATCTGGCCTAATCTTATCACATTGTGGTCCCCAGGGGTTCTGTAAAGCCCTTACTGGGTCCTTTTACCAGCCACAATAAAATTGGTCATGCCAGTACTGTTATAAACTGTAAACAACTGTTTAAAAATGGGATAGCTTTTGCTTATTTTAAATCTTTATATAGAGCATCCTTCTCAATTTTATAATTTAAGAATAACATTTTACCCTAATTATGATGTGGTGGCATTTCATACTTAACAAAAATTCAACTTTGTCAATAAATTATTAGTGACAACAAAATTATAGTTCAAGACATCCATTCTGCGCAGTATTTAATTTCCAATATTAGAATTTGTAACTGATAACAATTTTTTTGGTTTTATCCTTGTAGCGCGATGCACTACTGGGCCGCGCCACGCATCTTCAATCTTCTCGCTGATCGGTAGTTCGCAGATTCGGTAAATTTGCGTGGCGAAATGCACAACTGGGACTCGCCGAGATATCTAGACACTTATTTTACTTCGGTGTATTCCAACAGCCACAATGTTACACAAGTGCAACCAGCCAATTACATGACAGGAAGCCGAAGGATCTTTTTGGCCAGTGACGTTTAAGGTAGTGTGTACCATACTTTCTTCGTCCGAGACTTTGCTGCAATGTGCAGCTCCCAGAGGCGGCTATTGAGGGCGTCCAGGCGTCCGTGGACGCCTTAAAATTATTATCTGGTGGCTGGTGCTTAAAATAGAAATAGTAATTAGTAATAGTGTTAGGAAATAACAAATTGCAATATAAAGGTCTTCATTTACTATCATACGTTTTAATGTAAGCGCACGCATGATCTTCGTGAAATTTTGTGTTGTAGGGAGTCCAATCCTACCTCTGGACTACTCAGCCGCGCAGTTTTAACACATAGTTAATTGTAAACGTTACAAAGCACATCGTGCGCATCCCACTACAGGTAATCTATTATGATTTGCCTCGATTTGGGGGTCCAGGACCCTTTGCAATTTGACTGCTATATGATACTGCGCGGCTGAGATCGTACACGTGTGATGTCCTGTTTCACCCATGTTATAAGTTTTTGTTTTTGTTTGCTGTCGCCTGTAAAGTGTTACAACTTACACATTACATTTACAAGGCCCTGTGTGTAATGTAATCGGTAGTTTGGAGGGATCAGCTTGAGCCGGCTCCCAAGCCCCCCTCCCCCCAGTCCATCGATTGGACCCCCAACAAAACTGCCAGCCAGCTCCCACGAGCCGCCTCTGGCAGCTCCTCATTTAACCCTCACACCCGATTTCTCGAGTATTCGGCTGAGTAGACCGGGGGGCTGCATAGACCACTCATGATCCTTAGCTGAACGTCGACGACGCGAAGGATTGACATCCTTAAGTGACAAAGAAGGGTTTCAGAAGTTTTGTTTTTTAATTAAAAATTATTCAAACAATATACACATAGTTGTCAACTTTCAAAAGTTATTTGACTAGGTTTTAAAATAAAATAATTGATAATGTTTTGATAATTTTTAAAAATAATGTATTTGATATTAAAAATTAATGTTGGTGGGGAAATATTTTATTACATCTTTTTTACTAAGCTGTGCGATGATATTTTATAGACATGTGTGTATGAAATGATGTGATGTTTTTAATTTCACTTTCCTCTACTCTTGACTCTACTTTATCGTTTATTTTATTTCCTTGGAATGACTCACAAAAAGAATTTAAAAGTCAGGTCAAAATATATATTTTTTTTCCAAAAAAAATTACATTAGAACACAATCAAAGTTTGATTTGCTACAATCAAGCACACTTATTTCACTGAAGGAAATTAAAGGTAATCAAAAAGTTCATTATTCTGGACTAAATCATAAATGACTTAACGGATGTTACTCGTCTAAATTACTTCAAGGCAGCGCGCAGCGCTTTCTTCTCGAAATTTTGCCCGAGGCAAGTGCTACGACATACGAATTAGCGTGCGCTGGGCTAGGCCATTAATAATGGACAATGAATGACTCGCAATGACTTATCCTTCAATCTCACTCCTAATATATTCAAATAACCACAAGTTTTCGTGTACTATGCACGCAGTACTGCAAGTGCGAGGGCTCTGATTTGCTCGTTGTTAATGTGTAATACTGTAATGGAATAACCCAACGCGCGCTAGACTTCGAACGAGAAGAAATTTAGACGAGTATCATTCGTCAAGCTCTGGTTTATCATACGTTGTATGACCCGCTGTGCATGAGTGCGCGGCTCCCTCTGTATCGTACAGAAACTCTATAGTGAAACGACCGTGCATGAGATCACGACGTGATACAAGCTCTCGTTAGAGCAACTTAATATACACCCTTAATAATATAAGAAGACGAGCTTTGCACTTTTGAGTCTTTTAGATTTGTTTATGTATATTTTCTAAATGTAGCGTAATGCACTGCAGCATTGAGGGCCAAGCCGTGCATATCATCAAATAATGTTTTTTGCAACCACTTCGTTAGATATTGTGTAAAATTTTACGGACGAAATGATCCCAGTGGAAACTTTCAACCCACCGCTTCGGCCGGCGGGTAGTTCATAGTTTATGCACCGTTCACAAGCAAGAGCAACTTTGATCTACTTGCTGTGAGGTGTCTCAGCTACATCGGTTGGGACTGGGGGATGGTCCCCCCCTTTTTTCCCTCCTTTAAAAAGGATATTAGAGAAGAAAGAGAAATGAACAGTGGAAGTGCGATTAAAATAGCAGATTTAGATGTAAATTAAGCTTAGAGCCAGTGCATTGATTGTAATTTGGGTATTTTTACTAAGGTTTTCCTATAAGGTAAAGGTTTTCCTATAAGGTAAATAAATCTTCTTCAGTTTTAATGTAGATAAGTGTATGGTCGTGCAAATTGGTTCTTGTAATCCTAAGAATCAGTACTTGTTTGGTGGTGTGCCTTTGAGATGTGTTGAAAGCGAGAAGGACCTTGGAGTGGTCTTTAGCACCAGTTTCAACTTTGAGGATCATGTGCGGAAGTGCATTGCTAAAGCTAATGGTACCATTGCCTGGCTTACAAGAAATATTATATCGAGGGAAACAAGCGTTATGCTGGACTTGTATAAGTCTTTAGTAAAGCCTCATATAGAGTATCGTTCACAGGCATGGACTCCGATGGCTAGGCATGGAAACTGGTCACTGATTCTTGAATTGGAAGGTGTTCAGAGATCGTTCACCCGTATGATTGATGGATTGGGACTCATGACTTACAGAGAGAGACTGGATAAGCTGAACCTCACAACCCTGCCTGAACGCAGGGTTTGTGGAGATCTCATTGAGATGTTCAAGATCCAGGAAGGCTTTGTGGGTTATGGTTCCGATTTATTTAGTCGTTCTGGTAGGACTGTTGCTGCTATATCAAAGACTCATAGATTCACCACAAATGAGACTGATTTCTTTGCCCAAAGGGTCTTGCGCTATTGGAACAGTCTACCACCACTTGTGAAAGCTAGTGAGTCGGTTACTGGTTTCAAGAGGGGATTAGATGCCTTCCGGCTTCATGGATATCAAGCTAATAAGCTTGGTCATCACTGGGAACTTTCATATGATATATTTGATAGAATTGATGTTACTGTAGCTCACAGGAGTAATTATGTAAATTATATGAAAGATAATCCAATAATAGCTAAGAGGAAGAAGGTCACTTTAAAAGGCCTTACTAAGGCACTTATCAGCCAAGTTTTCAGTTAACTTCTTTTAGTTTTTATATTTTAATAGTTTATTAAACGTAAATTGTACATTTTTGAAGTAATTATATTTGTATATGAGATGCCCAGAGAGGCATACATTTAAATCTTATCTTATCTCAGTGTTTAGGGGTTTTTAACTCAGATTTTTACTTTTATATAGGGTCATTGTGATATTATCAAAAATAAAAAATTCTTCCCCTCGATAAATGAGCTTATTGCTCGTCTCTTATGTTCGATATTTTGGCTGCCACTTGCTTTGTGAGCGTGGTGCAGCTGGGACCTGAGTCTCTTGTAGTCGATAAGAAAAGGAGTTCAAATGATCCTCTCTTAGTTTCCAAGACCAGATCTTGATAATGGTATATTTTCTCCTCGTGGTGTAGGAAGACTGACAGTAACATTTAATGCTGCATATTGATGAGACACCCTTACATCAAAGAAAGTGCGCTCAAATACTGGTCACCATGATTCACAATCAGATTATATATCAAATCTAGCACCACAGCAATAGCAGCAAATCTGGGGAAACTTGGTGGACATTGACTTTTTTCACACAATTTGAGTATGTTGACTTCAACATTATGTTGCAGCTCATTGTGGTTAATCTCAATGTTGGAGTGATGTTTTTCTGGTGCACAAAACACTGCAGTACGGTTATGTTGAATAATTGTGGTTAATGGGTCATCTATGTGGCCACTATGGTGGTTAAAATACCAGTTTTAGGGTTAACCACCATTTTGAGATATGATATTATGAACTGAGTAGTCATTATATTGAGATCATATCATGGTGCAACTATCACAAAAGTTTTCAACCCTCATGGGGGGCATTTTGTGGTCCTAATGGTGGTTAAATTGAAGATGAACGGTGAGCTATAAATATTGCTCTGATTATAGATGTATAGTGGTGGTTGTTCATTTGTGCATGGATGATAATTTTGTATCACAAATGTGCAATTTAATAGTATGGTTGATTTGAGGTGGTTAATATTCGTAAAAAGTGCTAAAAAGATGGTTAAAATGTCAAAATTTGTTGTTAACCACCAATCAAAACATTATTAATGGTTTTAGTCAACATTTTATGGTCAACAAAGGACATTTGAAGGGTCTTGATAAAAGTTAGTTTTAATACTTTCAACACTACTATATAACAAATAATTTTAGGTATGGCTACCGATGAGTAATCCGTTGGAGTAAAGTCTGCCGGTGTCCTGGGTGTGATGGATCTGAGTTAGATGGCAGGTTGTGGAGGTGGTAACCGTTTCTTCCTATTGCCCTGGTAGTCTTGTACTACCAGGGCTCCTGCGGTCTGGTACGAGGTTAGTTTTATTGTTAGAGATCTAGTGATGTTTGAAATTTATTAACTCCTTTTAGCTACTTCTCCTTTAGATAAGTATTGCATTCTTTTTTCTGCTATACAGTTCTTTACAACACCTCTGTTCATTATAATTCAAATTTTTTTCACTCTGAACTATAAATCTCTGGCCTATTAACTGTTTCAGATCCAGATTGCTAGGGTTTACAACGGTGCCACTGAAACATCCTGCTGTTGATCTCTTATCCGGATCACCCAGTCTCCTCCCGATCCTCCCACACTTCACAACAAGATGCCAACACTGCCCGCCAACTTCCTCGCCTTACTGCAAAACTTATCTCTTGAAGTAAAGCAACACATGCATACCCTCCTTACTCAGAGTATCCTGGACAGTCTGAAAGAGAAAAAGCTTGCTTCTAAAATAGAACGTATAGATGAAAAGAAGAAGGAAAAGAAAACGAAGAAGGAAACTACTGTTCAAAATGTCTCGTATAGCCCACATACGCTCGTAGAGCACGTTCCAGTTCTCCCTGGAATGGATGAAAATCTATTCCAGAAAATCACAGAAGAATTAGATTCAATGAATCTTGAAGGCAAATCTAATAAAGTCCACACCCTATGGCTAAGCCCTTCATCAGAAGACTACTGCTTTGGTAACATAGTCAACAAGCCACATCCCATCAACAACTTCCCTAGCATCTTTAAGTTGATGGGACTTATTAATGACCTCCCCTCCACCACCAACAACATGGATGCTTGCCTTGTTACTAGGTACGACACTCAGCAAGCTAAGTTAAGCCTCCATAAAGACGATGAAGACCTAATAATATCACAGTCCAGCTCCATTTGCACTTACTCAATAGGGGCTCCGCGGTCACTTGAGTTTGTGCTCGATACAACCCAAGTAGAACAACGCACAACTAGGGCCTCTAGGTCAAGGCCAGCCCAAGAGTTGATTAACGCAGACTTCACCCTTCCTGCCACCAATGGCACACTGAACATCATGAAGCCTGGTGCACAGCAAGTCATGAGGCACAGGATTGCCCCAGGAGTTGCACCTTCTGACAATGAAATTTGTTGGAGGTATAGTCTCTCCTTCAGAAAGTTAACCACACCTTCCTCTTCCCCTTCATCTCCTATTCTTCCCTCTCCTACATCCGACAGTCCTAATAAGGTACCCCCAAAAGCTCCCATCACAGACTCTCAAAAACACCAGAAGTCTATCATCCTCATTGCTGGTGACTCCTTTGCTGCTCGATTGGACGCTGATCGCCTCAGTAGAGGTAAAGAAACTGTCACCAACATAGCTAAGGGTGGGCTTAAGATCTCAGCTATACAGAAATCTATTGAGGCCTTTCATACAAAGAACCCTCTTGTGCAGGTAAAGAAACTGTTCTTAAGCTTCGGTGCCAACAACATCCGGTACTGTACCCAGGGTGTCAATCATCTCAAGACCCCTGTGAGTGACCTTATGAAGACAGCAAAAAAACTTTATCCAAATGCACGTGTTTTTGTACAAGCTATTCCACCAGTCCACCCCAACGGACAAGATAAAATCCCTGGTAATGTTTGTGCTGTGAATAATTTGATCTTTGATCGCTGCTCTAGGCATAAACTGTTTTACCTTGATGTTTTTTGGGCTTTCTTAGACCGCTATGGAAACAGAAACGAGAGATTATTTCCTAAATGTGACAAAAGGGGCTTTTATGATATTCATCCCAGCCCCAAGGCTGGGATGCCAGTGTTGGCAAAGTTCTATCTCAGAATCATACACTCAAAGTGGTTTAATCCATTGGGATACTGATGTGGTAATTCAATTCAATATTTAAATTTTTCATTGTCTGCATCAGTATCCTATTGGATCTGATCATTTGGATGTTATTTATATGTATTCAAACGAAGTGATAGCATAATGTATGTTACTTCATATTATAGCACAATACCTAACAAAACACAACGGCGAGACACAATTCTGTTAATAATATACCTTAAAGTTCCATGGGAATATCGGCTCAACAACACCGTGTTGCAACTGGTATGTTTTCTAGGTATGTTATCATCAGTAAAAGTAATAGAGGTAACGGGGAAAATTTGTTGTCCTGTCTTCTGTCTCGTCATATGTTATGTGCTCTATTGGGTATATTTTATTTTTATGTTATTTTGTATATATTTTCTTTGACTATCGATGCTAATTATACACTCCCTGGTGCTCCCCTACAACCTAAAATACACTCTGTACCATGTTTGAGGTCATCCATAAATCTTTACTTTATGGTAATATTTTGTACCATTTTTCTCAGACACTTTAAACTTGTGTATAGGGGGGAGGGGGGCATTGGGACAGCCTTAGCTGCAATTTCTATAAAATTGCTATCTACCACAAAAACCGAACTGTCACCTACCATGTCACCGAAACAGACTGTTAAGTTACTTTTCGGTATAACCAGCAGCTGGCTTGGGGTCATGTCTAGGTGTGGTCTGGTTTTTCTATCTCTCCTTAATATTTCCCTGATAGTAATTTGTAATTGTTCCTTACTGAACCCTGGACCAAATTTATCCGTTGTTTACAATAATGTCCATGGTTTCCTAAATACACGCGATTTAGCATCAGGAACACCACCACTAAATATGACCAAGATACATGAATTCCATGGTTATATCTACAAACATAAGCCTCACATCATTATTCTAAACGAGACATGGCTGAAAAATTCCATTCTCAGTAATGAGGTGCTCCCTGACAAATACAAAGTATTTAGGCTTGACCGATCCTTAAGATCGCATCCAGTGGATGCAACCCAGCCCAAGAAATTCAGAAAAAACGGTGGTGGTGTTCTGATTGCCCATAGAACAGACATTGATATCTCGAGTCTAAAGTTCTCTAAAGTTAGTGTTCAAGCTGAATTATTATCCATCATAATTAAGACTCAGTGTGGAAGAAACTTTTGTATATCAACATTTTATAGAGTAGGAACGCTTGGCTTAGATAATTTTGAATCTTTCAAGAAACATTTTGTTACTTTAGCATCTGCCAGAAAATTGCAAAGGCACATTCTGGTAGGTGACTTTAATTTGGCTTCGATTTCCTGGCCAGATGGTCAGTCATCTTGCCAGCTACATTCTAGCTTTGTAAATTTTCTCACTGATGACCTCGGACATACACAACTTATTAGCTCCCCTACTCACAAGTCAGGCAACACCTTAGATCTTGTGTTCACTAACATTCAAAACCTTATTAAGAATGTTAAAGTTTTAGATCAAAACGAAATGTGTATGTCCGACCACTTTTGTATCACATTTGACATTGATATTAAGACCAAGTATATTAAGCAGCCTAAAAGAAAGATCTTTAATTATAGTAAAGGTAATTTTAGGGGCCTGAATTCTGAGTTATTTAGCATCGATTGGGATAGTGTATTTGAGTGTAATGATCCTTATCTTGCCTGGAGTCGATTCAGAGGAGTTCTCGGTGCAGCCTGTGACCGATGGATCCCTAAAAAGACCATTAAGTCTCAGTTCCAGCCCCCATGGTATGACTCCGAATGTGATCGTCTCCTACGAAATAAGGAGAAATGGAGAATAAGGCATAAGGGGAGCAACTCTGAGTCTCATAAACAAAAGTTTCGTGCATTTCGCACAAAATTTAAAAATTTGATGGACGAAAGAATGAGACTCAGTGTTGAGGATGACTCCGATGATGCTCTTATCTCCAAGAAATTCTGGACCTACGTTAAATCTAAATCAAAGTCAACCAGGATCCCTGAAACTGTCAAATATCATAATCGCTTTCGAAACAATCCATCTGATCAAGCTGCCCTTTTTAACGAATATTTTTATGAGCAGTTTTCTCAAGAGAGCGATTATGGCATTGACATAGATTTTCGTGATGATTGTTTTTCAAGTCTTGTGTTTAGTAGAGAAGATGTTCTGTTGATTCTTAAAAAGTTAAATCCTAACAAGGCCCCTGGCCCTGATGGGATTCATGGGAGAGTCCTCAAAAACTGTGCCCAAAGCCTTGCATACCCACTTAGTGTTTTATTTAACCTGTCTTTCTCGAGCGGATGCATACCCCCTGATTGGAAGCTGGCACTTGTAGTACCAGTGCACAAAAAGGGCGATAAGTCTTCGGTTGAGAACTACAGGCCTATCTCGTTAACATCTCTTGTAATGAAAGTCTTTGAAAGGTGCATAAAGACTGCATTATACGCTGCATGTTCTGATCTGTTGGATGACCGACAACACGGTTTTGTTAATGAACGTTCATGCACAACCCAAATGATACCTTTCACGGACAATCTTGCACTTGCATTGAATAACAGGTCCAGGACTGATATAATATATTTTGATTTTGCGAAAGCTTTTGATAGCGTTTCGCATGACCTCATTTTAAGTAAATTAAAGAATATTTTTAATGTCGATGGACTAATGCTTAAATTTATTAAGTCCTATCTTGAGGGGCGACAACAACAAGTAGTGATAGGAGGCCAAACGTCTTCTTCTCTACCAGTTCGGTCTGGTGTCCCTCAAGGTTCTATACTTGGCCCTTTATTGTTTGTAATATTTATAAATGACATGTTCTCCTGTGTCTCTGAAGGCACCAATATCGCCCTTTATGCAGATGACACTAAAATTTGGAGGGAGATCCTTGGTTACCCTGACCATCACATAATCCAAAATGACATCAACAGATTATATGATTGGTCAGTGAGAAATCGAATGAAGTTCCACCCACAAAAGTGCAAAGCCCTCTCTGTGTCCCTGCAAAGAAACGTGCTGGATAACTTGCCATTCAATACCTTCTTTTATAAACTTTCTGGAAGTGATATTGACTTTGTGCCCTCTCAGTCAG